CACAATGTACTGGAAAGTACCCTGCCTTTTAAATTATTTGTTTCTTCATGAAAATTAGCAAATGGAAGGGGGAAAAAGATTCTCTGCATTCTTTTGATAGCTAAAAGCCTAATATTACAGAATTGGAAGATAAATAATCAGCTCTTACACTGCTTTAGATCAGTGGTGGCAAACCTATGGCACGCTGCCACAGCGGGCACGCAGAGCCCTCTCTGTCGGCATGCGAGCCAAGTCGCCCCAGCATCACCCCAGCAGCCGAGCACCAGATAACAGTGCACATAGGGGCCATGTGCATGCTCGGAAAGGAGTAGTGGCTCCAGGCGATGACATCACGAGCCACAGCTCATTAGCCGTGACTTCTCTGAGCTTTCGCATGGCCAGTCAGTGCACTCTCAAGGATATTGTTTTTTCTAACCTAAAACCTCAGTTTTCAGGTTTTATTGCAGTGTTGGCTCTTTGAGATAAATAAGTGGGGTTTGGGTTGCAGCTTGGGCACTCGGTCTCTAAAAGGTTTGCCATCACTGCTTTATATAGATCAGGGGTCCTCAAACTTTTTCACCAGGGGGCCAGTTGAAAGCTGCCGGTGCTTGGTGCGGGCTGGAAAGGTGGTGCCAGTGGTGCAGGGACAGGGGCAGGGGTGGTATGTGTGGGCATGCAAGCTGAGGCAGGGGTGGGGCATGCAGCAAGGGGAGGCGAGGCGAGGCGCAGGCAGGCAGTGAAGGGAGGCGAGGCAGGGGTGGGCACGCGCTGTGAGGTGGCACACGAAACAGCAGCTTGCAATTAACAGTTGATTCCAGTGGGGACATATCCTTTTTTAACACACCCTCCTTTGCAAGTAGGATGGGATTTTCACATGAAAATGGTTTGGGGGCTCAGGAAGCAAAACAAAAGGTAGCAAAACTGCTTATAGATGCCAGTTTCATCTACCAGGAGTAATAGTATGCTAGACCAGTACTGATTCTGAAAACCTCATTGTGACTTACAAATTTGTGTGGGAAGCCCAAAAGACTGCTGTAACATTAAGGCTACTGCTCCAATAATATCAGTGCAAAATCTCATGAGATCTTGGCTGCATGACATCAAATGCTGGACTGGGAATGCCCTATCTGTTTGCAAGGAAATAGGAAGTATACAGTTAAGGGTGCTTTTTATATACTCGAGTGTTTAGGATGTAATTTATTTTATTTTTGTAATTTCTAATGGTGTATCTGGAAGACCTCTGTTAAAAAGATATAAGGAACACTTGGATGATATTCAGCGTTACGAAACAAGGAATGGACTTTGGTCCATTCATATGAGGGAGAAACACATTTGGCAGTAGTGAAGATCTCTCTAGGAAGTTTCAAGAGGCAGCATATATTGATCACATGAAAATCGATATCGGTATAGAAAATGAGATGAAACAAACCATGATGTTTATTAATGCAGCTTGATTGGCTGTGTTGATGATTAATCCATGTTTTCTCATTTGGGCTTTGTTCCTGATTGTTCCCAACTTTGTATTTCAGTGGTATCGTAACCTAGGTTGTGAGCAAACATGGGTATAAATAGCATTTCAGTGTAAAATATGTGTAGCTTCCATATAGTCTGAAGTGCCTGACCCTGCCTATTCTTGGAAGTTAAGAGGGGTTGGGCCTGGTTAAAGTTTGGATGGATGACTTGAATCCAGCATTAAGCAGGTGGTGGGACTCAGTGGACTGCTAGGTCCCTACCAACTATGATTCTAGCAACTTTCTGTTATGTTACATGCAAAGAAAGCTGGTCATCTACCTATACACAGAACACTAGAAACTGATTCTTATTGCTGTCTGCTGTTGACATACCTTGTAAGAAATAAATGTTGACACATTGATAATAAAAACGCTGTTACTGCAAATATGTCAGGCCAACGCTATGTTAGAGTTGCCTTGTGGTAGTATTTCATTATGCATTACAGTAAATAACATTTCAGCTGTCAAATGGTGGTGGGGGAGAGATCTTTTTGGCTGACCAGTTGTCATTATCTAGGTAACAGTTGTGATTTTAGAGAAGAATGTTATGTATGAGCTAATACTTATTTCATTCATTATAAACCATTCCACTAAACATTTATTAAAAAACAAAAATGGGCAATTTTAGAAAGGGAGTTAGAATAATATGACTATAGTTTTAATTGTTGCTCTATTTTAACCATTAGAATGAAAAGCTAGATTGAATTATGGAAGAAGTTAATAATGATTCCCCTTTCTACCAGCTCTCATTCTGGCAAACTTACATGTTGCTGTAGGAGGAAGGGGGAAAAGATATTGTACTTCAGCAAGACATGATGAGATGCTTGGCTCACACCCTATGTAAAATGTTTCTATAATTATAAAAAATGTAAGTAAAATTAGAAGCCAATCATGACATGCGGTAGCAAACTACCTCAATTTTATGGTTAACTAAACTTCTTGACTAGAAAACAGTAAACTCGATGTGTTTACCCTCAGCTTCTAATAGGTGAGAAAACACATATTACAGGCTCAGCTGCTTTGTGATATATGCCTGGTGTAGCTATAGTATAATCCAATTGTAATCAAACTTGCAAATGAGTATGTGCCCCAAAGGAAAGGGAGGCAGGAAAATTGAGCAAGGACAATTTGTGCCTTAGTCAGAAGGTAGGTTAGAACAAACCATGGGTTGCTGGTAGCTCCACTTCAGCACAAAGAGAAGCTGGAACATTAGGACAAAGGGCTAGAATGGCTCTTAGAAATGTATTCTGGTCTGTCTGGGCTGGGCTGGGCTGGATAAAACAGACCTTTGGCTGGTCTGTTTTATCCAGCCCACAGATTCTGCACCATACAGAGTTGGTGCTAAGATTTTTGGCTCAAATATTTTTGGTGTGCGGTTCATCAATTGGCCTTCCTTAATTTTGAAGAAGGTATAAGGAAATTTCCTAATCTAGAAGCCGTTGAATTAATACTCTATATCTGAGAAACGTATATACAAATATTTGTATGATGAGCAATGTAATAATAACTCCAGAGCAATTTATGTCTTCAGTATCTTTTGTTGTTGTTAGTCGCGAAGTCGTGTCCAACCCATCGCGACCCCATGGACAACATTCCCCCAGGCCTTCCTGCCCTCCACCATCACCCAGAGTCCACCTAGGCTCATGCCAACTGCTTCAGTGACTCCATCCAGCCACCTCATCCTCTGCCGTCCCCTTCTTCTTTTGCTATCTATTGTTCCCAGCATTAGGCTCTTCTCCAATGAGTCCTTCCTTCTCATTAGGTGGCCGAAGTATTTGAGTTTCATCTTCAGTATCCAGCCTTCTAAAGAGCAGTCCAGGTTGATCTCCTCTAGGACTGACCGGTTTGATCACCTTGTAGTCCAAGAGACTCACAGGAGTCTTTTCCAGCACCACAATTCAAAGGCCTTAATTCTTCAGTGCTCAGCCTTCCTTATGGTCCAACTTTCACAGCCATACATTGCAACTGGAAAAACCATAGCCTTGACTATATGCACTTTTGTTGGCAGGGTGATGTCTCTGCTTTTTAGTATGCTGTCTAGATTTGCCATAGTTTTCCTCCCCAGGAGCAAGTGTCTTTTAATTTCTTGGCTGCAGTCCCGTCTACAGTGAACTTGGAGCCCAGGAAAATAAAATCTGTCACTATCAGTATCTTTTAGCATACTTTT